CTCAATCCGCCTTTCCGGGGATCAAATCCGGGTCTCCTGCATTACAGCACGACGTAGCATCGTATGTTCAGCCACATCATACTACAGACGCCCGAGTGGGTTCCGAGACCTCATAGTGGAGGTAAACCAAAATAGACCCACTGTCTCCGCAACAAGAATGTCGTAGGAGCGGTAAGACACAACACACTGCACACAAATAAGCCAGTTTTCTACTTCTTCTTCTTTCGTTCGCCTGAAATAAGTTGTCTATATCAGCAATTTTGTCTCTTGTATAAATTTCACTGTCTTTGTTAGTTCATTCAGTGGTCCGTAGAGTTTAAGTTCCACTGTTGTTCTTTCTGACCAAAAAGTTTGCCTTAACGTGTCAAATTCGGTGCTGTCCTGGAGTACATGCTCTGCTGTCTGGGATACCTTTCCACAGGTGCACATGGCTGATACGCCTGTCTTGCATTGTGTGTACATGTGGTAAATAAGCTAGTTAAACGGGTGTACATGCAAAACGCAGGCCCTGGCACTCAGCCAAAGTGCACATGGACGAACAACCCGGGACTTTCCGCCGGAGCTTACAGTCGGCGAACACAAAAAAAGAAGAAGAAAATACTAAAGAATACCTGGCAACACATCTGTTTTTGTACACGACTGTGTGTATATTTAGCCTGTGTGCCAGTAATACACTTATGTTAGTGGTAAATGTTGAGTTCCCTCGTGTGGGTTCCGGGGCTCTATTATAGGAAAAACAAGAATAGACCCACTGCCTACTTAAAGGCATGTCGTAAGAGTCAACTAATTGGGAGCTTCCTTCGAAGTCGGAGTGCATCTGCCTGAGAGGCAAGGAACCAACAGTCTGCACACAGATGTGTCAGATCTGTCAGACGAGTGCACACGCAACACTCAGGTTCTGGAACAGGGCTGCAGTTCAGAAGTGGACGAACAACCAGAACTTTCCTTCCACCAGAGTTTACAGCCGGTGAACTCAAAGAAGAAGAATGTTTGACCAGGGGCGCCAGAACATGGGGGCGGACCTTAGTACCTCTTTCCCCTCGGAAAATTGTAGAGGGGGAGGGGCTACACGTGAAAGGAGGCCGAGGCCCCAGAACACACATCCCCCACCACAAGTTATATTTTAAAGTATTAGTTTAAATGTATTCTATGTTTGTTTATTTGTACGTATACCCACACACATATATAAGTGTATGTATGTGTGTGTTTTATATATATATATATATATATATATATATATATACAAGGGCCCTTGTCCTCGATTTCAGGCTTATTGGGCATTTGGGGCTGGACAAGGGGTGTCTCCGTGGCGAAGTGGTCAAGCGGTTTTCCTCGCGCTCTGAGGGTCATGTATTCCTTTCACGGTTGCGCCCTTCTGTCTGTCTGTTTGTCTGATCTTTCCACACACACACATTGCTGTTAAATACATTAGTATTATTATTGTAAATCACATATTGAAGAACGCTCTTCGTATTGCCAGGTTCGATTCAAGCTGCGGGCCTTGCCCCTTTCGTTGGTTTCGAAAGTGGTATCGAGAAGCCGACCGTCCAGAAGCAGTGGCAAACTACTAGAGGTAATTAGCCTAGAAAAACCGTCTCAGTCAGAAAATGATGTGGTTGATTCTGCAGTGTCCGGTAAAGGATACGCAACTAACTTATAGAAGGCTTAGGTCTCCTGTGCTGCACCACCCAGAAAATGGGTGAGGCTCGGGGGGGGGGGCACCTCCCCTCAGCCCCATTTGTGTGGGTGTCGACACTCCTGTAGTTTTACCTACAGAAAGGATTAATCCGCCGTCGTATCACGTGATGTTGTACAGTGAGTCACTGCCGCGTGCAAGGGTCAACAATGGGACGGCATTTATCATTACCAGCTGATCGGTCGGTCGACTCCAGGAATAGCCATCCTACTAGTGACTGTCGTCTGCTTGCCTCGGTCGTAAAGCTTTCAGAATGTTTACAGGTTACAGTAGTGGTGGAGACGCGTTGGTATCTTCTCCAACATTGACACCTCCTCCTGCTCGATCTGTTGTGTAACAAAAGCCTACTTGGTTAGCCGATGCCACTATGCCTACGTTGTGCTCAGTGGTACGATGCCGAACGTTGAGTGGAGAGGCCCCGACTGGCCAACGTCCACTTTATTCAGTGTAATAACCGGCAGTTATCCGGCCAGCTGATCTAGGCACTTCAAAGGGCACGAGTTAGTAAGTCACGTGGACAGGCGATCTCTGGTTCATAAACCCGTTATATTTAACGTTTGAACTTATCTTCAAAGTGTCCACGTATTAAACTCATACAATTTCTTATATTTGAGTGTGTTGGATTGTTGTATTTCAGTTGGGAGTATTAGTTCATTTTGTTTATCGATCAATAAAAATTAGGGTACAGTTACTTGGTATGTAGTGGCGACCGTGGTTTAGGCGTTGCGAGCCCGACTCGTAATTCCAACGTACCGCTATCGAAACCCACTGCTGGCTGAGTGGATTTTTATCATGGTATGGGGCGTCGCAGGTCGAACCAGCCTAAAATGGGTACCAGGATGTATGTCCTGGGAAAGTAAAGACGGCCGGCGTAATGTTGACCACATTACCCAACCCAGTGCTGATTAGTTTGTAAAAATATTATGTGCTCTTCCCATATTCGCTTAAGGCGTACAAAGTGATCTTTACTTTACCTACTTTACTTAGTATGTAGCAGAAAACATACCACGATATATAACTATCATTACTGCCTGTATTTGTCACGTTTAAGGTGTAGTTAAAAAAACTGTTGTGGGGGGGGGGGGGTATCTTTGAACCCGAGGATCTAAGGCCGCAGGGTTAGTGATGTCGCCCACAGACTGAGAAGGTTTGGGGGGGGGGGGGGGGGCATTCCCTTAAGCACTCCATACTCCTCTTTAGAGCAAAGAGCTCCAATTCCAGTAGTGCCAGTAGCAGCTTAATTATGTGTCCTTGCCTTTCCTCTTGAGAGTAGAGTGTTGACCAGTCCCTTTTCTCTGAGGGTAGAGTGTTGACCAGAGCCTTTCCTCTGAGGGTAGAGTGTTGACCAGAGTCCCTTTCCTCTGAGGGTAGAGTGTTGACCAGAGTCCCTTTCCTCTGAGGGTAGAGTGTTGACCATGAGTCCCTGGTCACTCCCAGCTGAACCATTCTCTCCAGACCATAATGATTTAGTCTGTTCCTCTGCATTGTTCACTTGCACGCAGAAGGCTCTGACCACATCTAGCCTGTCATGTATAAGGTCTCACCCAGTGATGAGGAAGCAGCCAGACTGTCTGCTCCTTTCTCAGCACACCTGCATGCCCCAGAGACAGTATCCAAAGGATGCTAACTACACTGGATCTCTGAAGCAATGCTTGCCACTCTGCAAGAAGCATATGGCATCCGCCTCGAGTGCTGGAGGTCCTGGGTTCAGGCTCCGGTGAAGGCTGCAGTTTTTTTCATCTGGACTTCTAGTAATTTTCCCTGGTCTCAGGGTAAAAAGACAGGACGTCTGTGTATTGTTGTGCACGTAAAAAAAAAATCAGTTGGAAATCGAAAAGAGTAGCCTAACTGCGCTGCCTGGACAAATTTGGAGTTAAAAATCTACCCAAAGTTTTTTAGGATCCTCACCGTGCTACAGAGTTCGTGCACTGCACTTAGAATCTTCAGACTCAGACTTGAGATAGCCTAAAAGGATTATGTAGAAAGGATTATGGGTTGCAACCCTTGTTCCATGATGTTAATCCGTTGTATAAACCAGACTAAACCAAACCAAACCAAACCAAACTATGCCAGTCTGCACTGTTCTCAGTATGCTTTGGGAGTTAGTTACAATCACAACATATGTATGCAGCTTGGGGTAATTATGTGTAATTCATCATCATCATCTGTCCTATACACCTTTGGCCTCTCTCACCAACATTTGTTTCAAGGTTTCTCTTCAACTGCTCATTTTCTGAACCTATTTGTTTCAACATTTCAGTGCCTTTTGGTGATTATCTACTTCTTAGTTTATGCTCAGTATAGCATCACTTTCTTTGTCTTATAAATGTTGATAGCAGTATTGTCAAGACGTACTCTTGTCTAATCACCTTTCTTAAATTCATCTCATTTAAATGCTAAATAATTAACATTCTTCTTCAAGTCCACGCCGTGTGGCATTGGTAGTCATGTCTATATCCACAGCCTTCTGTCTCGTGTACTTTCAATCAACTCTGACACTGATGATCTTCCATGCCATGGTGTCAAACTGTCACAGTTTACTCCAGTTTTCTCCTTCTCATCACATGACCAAAGAATTTAGATTGTCTCTTTTTGATGTGGGCAATCAGTTCTCTTCATGATTTTTTTTTTCAAGACATACTCATTAGTCTTTTTAATCTATCCAGGGTATTCTCATCATTTGTCTATAAAACCCCATCTCTGCAGCTACCAACATTTTTTTCCACTAATCTACCAACTGTCCATTATTTACTTCCATATATCAAGATAGGATTTATATAGCTTTTAAGAAAAAACGATTGCATAAAATGTTCTGCATTTTGTGAGGCTGCCTTTGCTTGAGCTATTCGACATTCTTCTTCTTCTTCACTTCCTCTTTTACCGCTGTGGGTGTCGAGGGAGATATAAGGTTCTGTTTCTAGCTCTTCTGGCTGCCTCGACCACAGGCACATCGTGCTGTTGTAGAGTTTCTCTGATGTTATCCTTCCATCTTGTTCTTGGTCTACCCCCTGCTCTACGTCCTTCTTCTCTTTCCATGTATGCTTTGTATGGTATGGTGTCACAAGGCATTCTCTCTAAGTGGGCAAACCATTCGACATTCAACTACCTTAATACATCTTCCATCTGATGTTATCAGGGTAGCCAAGTACTTAAACATATCATCTTGCTCGAGATTTAGGCCATTTACTTTGATGTTGCATTTGGGAGGGCCAGTTTTCTGTGGAGCTACCATTACTTCTGTTTCAATCGCATTAGTTAAATATAATTAACAGCGTGTGTGATTTAACAATTTCAGCTTGGCATCATGGATGATATTAACAATCTGAGGCAGAAATGTGAGGATGTTGGGCAGGGACATCTTTTCCAGTTCTGGGACCAGCTGGATGCAGAGCAGCAGAAGATCCTGGCCACTGACATCTCCCTGATAGATTTGCAGGTTAGAAGCCCGACTTGTCTCTAATGTGAAATGATATTGGCCATCATCATTATCATCAGCTTCCACTTCTGGCATTCCCACTTCTGGCATTTACATTTCTAGCATTTCCATTTTTGGCATTTCCACTTCTGGCATTTTTTCCACTTCTGGCATTTCTTCTACTTCTGGCATTAAGCGTCATGGGGGAAGAACAGTTTGTGATCCATTGCTTGGTGGGCAGCAATGGCTATTGTCATGTTATCTTTGAAGCGCTGATAGAATCATGCCCTTTAATTTCCTCCTCAATTCTTGGGAATTCCATTACCATGTCCCATCCCATTCCTCAAACATCATTTGTTTAAAGCCTTTAACTTGTGATTGTGTTTCAGGAGGCAGTGCGCTATTTTAAAGAAGCAGAGAAAACCCTGAATGAAGAGAGTGAAAAGATAGATGATCATCTGGAGCCATTGGAGCCTGATGCTTGTGGGAGTGTTACACAGAGTAGCCAGGAAGTTTTAGACAAGTACCGGAATATAGGTATGTGTATTTTTTAGCCTTCCCCGTGTGGGTTCCAGGGTCCTGTTATATGGAAAACAAGAATTGACCCACTGCCTACCCAAAAGCATGTCTTGAGAGTCGACCAGTTGGAGCTTCCTTCAAAGTTGAAGTGCATCTGCCTGAGAGGCAAGGCAGCAACAGTCTTCATACAAATTAGTCATATCTGTCAATAGATGTGCACACAACACTCAAGTTCTGGAACAGGACTGTAGTCCAGAAGTGGGTGAACAACCAGAACTTTCCGCCAGAGTTTACAGCTGGTGAAGGTGAAGAAGAAGAATGAGGATGAACTTATGCATAAGTAAAGAGACATGGTGTGACAACTTTTAATATTCAGCTATCAGAAAAAAGAAATAAAGATGAACTTACAGATAAGTAAAGAGACATGAGTATGAAAACTTTTAATATTCGGCCATCAGAAAAAAAGAAATAAAGATGAACTTACAGATAAGTAAAGAGACATGTGTATGAAAACTTTTAATATTCAGCCATCATAGAAAAGTAAGTATGTAGGTGTGTGGATGTGTGTGTTTTTGTTTGTTAACACAGGTAACTAATGAATTTTAAAAAAAAATGTATTTATCTACATTTGTAACAATTTGAAATATATATATAAAGGGAGTGATCAATAAACATGAACAGACTGAAGCATTACGTTGAATACATTTCCGGGGGCCTGAAACAGTGTGTATCAGGTGATGCATGCCATGACCCTGTGACCTCTATCACTGAGGCTATGGAAAGATTGTGATGTCAGCGTGACTTTTAAAAAGTTACTTGGTTCACAAGAAAACCCCTCTAAATGCTGTTGTTAGTTAATACATTCATTTCCAGGTATCGTAAATGCTGCACAGGTGTGAACAGAACCAGTGACCTTAAATATGCTTCTCAGATCACTACAAATGTGTCATTTCAGAAATGCAGTTTTTTTCCTGTTTCTCTTAGAACTGTCTTGTTTGTTTTTCTGTCTATTCATTGTGGTTATGTGATCTCCTCATGCATTTAATTTCTGCAGCCATAAATACGTCTTAGCTTGTCTGCTTATTAAATTAAATCATATTGTTTTCAGGGTTACGTATTTGCAGTTCTGATGTTATTTCAGTTTTAACATATGCCAGTGAAAGTTGAACAAATGTTAATTAAATGCATTTGAAAACAAATGCCTTAGGAAAATTATGAACATAAAATGGGATGACTTCAGGAAGGGTGAAGAAATCAGAGAAATGTCTGGGCAACCGCTGGTATCAACAGTTATAACACAGAAGATGGCGCTACTTTGGACATGTCCTGAGAAGACACGAGCAGAGTCTCACCAAACAGGCACTGAAATGGGAAATTAAGGGATTTCAGAAACGAGGATGTCCAGAAGAAATCTCAAAACGAATGTTGAGGAGAGAGGCCAAAGGTGCTGTACTGGATTCCATCCATGATATCAGAGAGATGGCACAGGATAGAAGAGAATGGTAGACATGTAACAAGATTGGCATTAGACAGGGCACATCAGAGAGCAATGTCGGACATATACAATAGTAACAGAGCCAGAGGTTGACTAGGCAGAACATAAAAAGGTTGTTGCGTATCCTTTACAGGACGTTGCAGAACCAACCCTAACAGCCCCTGGCTGTTGTGTGGTTTCTCTAGGCAAATTACGTCCAGTAGTTTGCCATTGCTTTCTGGACGGTCGGCTTTCTTGATACCACTGTCGAAACCAACGCAAGGCGCATTGCCCGCAGCTGGGATCGAACCCGGCATCCCGGCATTACGAAGCGAAGTGTTCGCATCTACTTAGCCACAGAGCCGACAGGCAGAACATAGATCGCTGAAATATCAGAGACACTGAAAAGTACTTTATATGAAGCGAACAGAAGGCTCCGTTCTAGAGATCTCCTCCTACCTGATGCTGCAAGGCATTCCAGGAGTAGAGAAAAAAGAAGAAGAAGAACAGAATGGAAGATTAGACTGGGAGCCCTATGTGATATGTAAGGGTACAACAGGACAATGAAGATGCTTGCTGATTGTCCATGTTTCACATTCATACAGCAATACAGGTTCTATTCAGCATTTAACTCTTTGAGTCCCAGAGGGTTTAGCATCACAGGCCCAAGGGGTAGTCAAGAGAGACGTAAAATTGGCGCATTATGCGTTCATTGGGCTTCTAGGCAGAAACCTATGAAGGTATGATGCTTTCTTCGGCACTCAAAGAGTTAAACGTGCTTTCTTCCACTGCTCACCTCGCCAGGTCTCACAGCCGTGGCCAACAATGAAGTGGCAGTGCTGTTGTTGGCCGGGGGTCAGGGGACCAGACTTGGGGTCCCGTACCCCAAAGGAATGTATGATGTCGGCCTGCCTTCCAGGAAGACCTTGTACCAGATCCAGGCTGAGAGGATCACCAAACTGGAGCGGCTGGCGGAGAAGGCAACAGGCAAGGCTTGTGCTGTGCCTTGGTGGGTTCTCTAGTCATATAACATGGTCCTTGTTTGTGTGTGTGCGTGTGTGGGTTGGTGCATGCCTGCATGTGTCCAGCTGGTATCTCTCGGTGTCTCTTTTTCTCTGTCACACCTGCATTACTTCCCTTCTGCTCTGTCTCCCCTCTTTGTCTGATATCCACTCTCTCTTTCTCTGACATCCACTCTCTCTCCCCCTCCACCTCTCTATCTGACTCATACTCCTTCTCTCATTTCTCTTTCTTTCATTTGATTGTTATCCTTAGGTATCTTGAAAAAGATAGTGAGTTGTTTCCTTCACCTTGAAAGCAACAGGATTTGTCCTTTCCTCGTCTTTCTTCTTCTTTTGTCCTACGGCTTATGCTGTGAGCCGTCGCAGGGAGGAGTTAGATGTAGTTTTCTGTCCTTTGCTAGATGTGTAGCTTGTGTTAATGTCATACTGCATTTCTGTAGTTTCTCTTTGACTCCCTCCACCCATCTCTTTCTTGGTCAACCTCTTGACTTGTAGCCTGCTGTTCTCATCTAGTATGCTCTAGCTAGCTGGCTGATTTTGTTCCATTCTAACCAGATGACCAAACCATTTGGTTCTTTTATGTTCTGTAAAATAATTCACTGGTACTTCGTCCTTTCGTCTGTCAAATCCAACTTTGAGATGACATTTTTAGTAAACTTGTATGAAATGTGACTAACATGGAGGAAGAGGAAAAATGCACATAAAACAGACAACCGATGTTTCACCCGGAACTTTTCTTGTAGAAGTAAAGGACCCTTTTCCACGCCTTTAGGCGTATAGGGCATATAGGGCTAGACCTATATTTTTATAGACCAACAGCACAAGATTGATGATGCGGTCAGCATCACGCCAGCCGCCACTACTTCCCAGGACCGCGCCCGGTACCCATTTAAGGCTGGGTCGACCTGGGAGCCAAGGTCATTTTTGAAGAAAAGTCCGGCTCCGCCAGGGAGCGAACCCACGACCTTCTGATCCGCGGCGCGCGTCTATCTGCTCGGCCACGGCGACTCCCACTTTTCTTGTACTTCACATTTTATTACTGTTGTGTAGTTATTATCGAGAAAAGTTCCGGACGAAACATCGGTTTGTCTTATTTCTCCTCATTCCACCTATCCTTAGACTTTTTAGTCACAGTTGATTGGTTACAGATTTGCTGAGATTAGATTTGTTGTGCTGAACAACGCAAATCAGGCAGCCTAGCTGTAAACAACAACATGTGTGCAACCAGCAATGAGTTTGATTGGCTACATGATAAATTTGATTTGCTAAAAAAAATGGGGTTTCCCAATCCTCTAGTAGCGCAAGCAATAGCAATTCTGAAATTGCATCTTTGTTGTAGTAATCTGTTATAAATGGCTTTTTTCCAGTTTAATTACAAATGAAATAATAAAAGATTTTTCTAGGTATTTATTATAGAACAAAAGCCATGGATGTTTTTGTTTTTTGTTTTTTCATAAGCAGTTTGTATATTTACAATTCAGAATCTAATGAATATGATAGCACAGGCATTTATAAAATAAGAATATAACTGGGAAGGCTAACCCGGTTAACAAATGCCAGCAGAAGTCGGATGTATTGACCGAAAGGTGCAAATATCACAGCCATGCTGTAAATGGACACAACGCAATTACATCTTCGGATGAACGCAGAAGAAGATTAAGAATATTTGGACCATAAAAGGGTTCCCATACTTTCTGTTTCACTTGTTGCGAAATCTATTGTCCTTCTCTTGTTAATCACATGTTGTTTTGTTTGGGGGGGGGAGGGGGGGGAAGCATTGCCCAATACTCGAGGATGCATGGAAGTCTTACAGTATACTCAAGGGGTCATAGGCGTCCTGCCAAATGCTCAAGTGGGACACAGGGTCTTGCCATATACTCAAAGGGGGACTCTGGGGTTTTGCCATGTACTCAAGGGGACTCTGGGGTTTTGCCATGTAATCAAGGGGACTCTGGGGTTTTGCCATGTACTCAAGGGGACTCTGGGGTTTTGCCATGTAATCAAGGGGACTCAGGGGTTTTGCCATGTACTCAAGGGTGACACAATCTGAAGAAAAAAAAAAGTTTGGAGATCACTGCTGTAAAGAGTTTGATGGATTTTACAGGTATATTATGACAAGTGAACACACAAAGGATGCAACAGAGGAGTTCTTCCACAAGCACGACTTCTTTGGTCTCCGAAAGGAGAACATCATGTTGTTTGAGCAGAGTATGCTCCCCTGCTTTGACTTCAATGGCAAGATTATCTTGGATTCTCTTCACAAAATTTCATTTGCACCTGGTGAGTTCATTGTTATTTTTATATTGGCAGTGTTTAAAGGATCCTTTTTCACATCACAGTTATAGTGCCAGAACTATGTTTTTATAGACTAGTTATGTCTATCTATAATTTTTCTCTGCTCAACTCTTTCAGGAAGTCAAAGCAATGTTTTCCCGTTGAATAAAGAAGACACAAATAGTAGATTGCAAAATTTGTTGCGGGGCATATTTCGCTGTTACTGTAATATGCACCTGACAAGATACAGTGAAAAATTTCAGGCAATAAATTTTGCAATCTATTGTTTATTTCTTCTTTCGGGAAGACTGGGGGAAAAGGGGTGGGGGGGGGGGGGTGTGTGTGTTTGAACAGCATTCATTTTTAGCTGAATTTTTGTACTGCAACACAACAAAGCAAAAACCTTCCTGAAGAAAAAGTATTGACTGTATAAAAGTAAAGTAAAGGACCCTTTTCAATTCCTTTAGGCATATAGGGCTAGACCTATATTTTTATAGACCAATCGGTACAAGATGGGTGATGTGGTCAGCATCATGCCAGCCGCCTTTACTTCCTGGGACTGTACCCGGTACCCACTTAAGGCTGGGTCGACCTGGGAGCCAAAGTCATTTTTTGAAAAAGTCAGGCTCCGCCAGGGAGCCATCCCACGACCTTCCGATCCGCTCGGCCAAGGCGACTCCCTTTGGCTGTATAGGGACATAAATATCAGATTAGAAATAGATGAATGCAGAATACTTCTGAGCTATTTAAGGATCAGTATTTCAACAAACAGATATTACAGAGACACCACATTCAAGGATGTTAGAAACACATAAAGATTTTTACACACATAATTTTGTGCTTACCTTACTTTTTTACTTGATAACAACACAGCTATCTATTTATAAGAATTCACACGCCTTCTCTATTCAGTTCTGCTTCAGATAGTCTTTTTTTTGGATAAAATTATTCTAAATACTGTGGATTTTATTACCATTTTTGTGTGACGTCAAATTTCACAACAGCTGAATTCTGGACACAGCTGATCAAAACAGGAACGATCTGACTGAAATATTGTGTTCAACCTTCATCTCAATCCATATTATCAGCAGTAGGTTTGGCACTTGCATTATTAATCATAATGTCAAGACTATTGTCACTATCTTGCTGAGGTGCATCAAAGACTGCAGCAGTATGGGGAGTTCTTGACCTTTTTCCCTTATCATTTGGTCAGGAAAATCATAGAAAAATCATGTCATACTGATTAATTTATAACAAATTGAAAATTGAACCTGTCGTCTGACAACGCTTGGAATATGATAATACTTCCTTTTCCTAATTATGTTTTTTTTTTTAAAAACATGTTTATATAAATTCATTTTCCTACCAGATGAAACAATATTAGAGTGCCTGTACCGAAAGCTGATAAATCTGCGCTGTGGCAATATCAGGTCGATTGTCGCACCGATATATCGGCGAAAAATCCTCAAAGAGTTAGATGTCACAGGCCAGTGATCTGTTTCCAGGCCAGTGTGCGCTTGTTAGCTTGCTACATGGTGATATTATTGAGTGTTAGCAAGTTGTTAGCTCTATCTGTTCATCTTCTTCTTGGCCTTCCTTTGCCTCTGGATGTTTCCATTCTCACTGTGCATGCTGTTGCAACCAGTGACGCTTGGTTCATTCTGACCAGGTGTCCAAACCATTTCAGTCTTTGTTTTTCAATAAATCTAATTATAGATGTTGTTTTGACCATTCTAATATCTTCGTTTCACTTATGGCCTCTTCTTGTTATGCTGACTGTTTTTCTCGAACATCTCATTTCACACATTATTCGCCGCTCTTGTTCTTTTGTTCATGCCCAGGTTTGGCACTGGTAGCACAGAATGGTAGCACATTCTGGCAGCACAAACTGGTGCCACAGATTGGTAGCACAAACTGGTGGCACAGACTGGTAGTACAAACAGGTAGCACAAACTGGTGGCACAAACAGGTCGCACAGACTGGTAGCACAAACAGGTGGCACAGACTGGTAGCACAAACAGGTAGCACAATGTTGGTAGCAAGATTGCATTTATGATTTGTCTTTTAATTTCCAGTTGGCAGTCAATAAATGATGTGGTTAGCATCAGTTCAGCAGCCTTTACTTCACATGACTTTACCTGCTAGCCAGTTGCGAGCCAAAGTCAGTTTAAAAAAAAAAAAAATGTGTCTAGCCACTGCACAACTACGGCTCATAATTTGTGTCTGTATGTACTGATTTAAAATAAAATGGCTGCAAGAATTTTCTCCAGCATGAATAAAAATTAACATACAGTGACAGAGAATTACTTTAATAATGAGAATTGTCAGTTGTATGTATATTCAGCTGTAGAATGTGGCACAGAAACTTAGACAAGGAATAAGCAGTTGGAAAGTCAAATTAAAACTCTTGATAAACAGAAGAATATTTTTCGCATTTTATATGAAAAAACCAAATACAGAGACAATGCAATAATTGTATTGTCAAAAACTTTTTTATTATCAGCTTTTATAAAGTTTGGTTTTGTTTGTTGGTCTAGTACAGTTTTTGTCTTTAATTGTTAAATCCGTATCAGTTATCAGGCAGACATTTTGCACACACACACTTTTTGTTGATGACATTACAGTGTGGTGCAAGATAATCCAAAATGTAAAAAAAAAAAAAAAATTTTATTATTTGATATACACTTTCAGCTGGCAACGGTGGCCTGTATCAAGCTTTACGAGATGAGGGTGCTCTGGTGGATCTCCTAGCTCGTGGTGTGAAATACGTTCATGTCTATTGTGTAGACAATATTCTAGTCAAGATGGCTGACCCGGTCTTTATTGGATTCTGTTTGAGCAAGAACATCGACTGTGGTGCCAAGGTGAGATGGCTTGTTGTACATGTAATTACTTTTGACTCTAATGGTATGGAAATTCACCAATAATAGACTCTTACGACATGCTTGTTAGGGAGGCAGTGGGTCTGTTCTTGTTTTCCCCACAGTTGGGCCCCAGAACCCACATGGGAAATTCCTAGATTTTAGTAGAGGCTAGTTCCCATAGTATGTATTCTTCTTCTATGTTTACTCTTAAACGGGTGGTTGGCATGTTGTGTTGTGATTTACAGACAGGCTGTAATATCTATGCCTTTTGGCCCAACAAATATGACTTCAGCAAACTCCTAATGGTCGCTTTGTCTGACGTGCTTTTTAGAGGATGGTGAGTTTTTTGTTAAAACCCCAAAATGGGATTCAAAACCCACATGGGGGAGTAGCATGTGTAGTGTACCGGAGTTTCTTCAGTGGGATTGTCGTGAGAATGTTGCCCTTATACGACTTTGATCTGGACATTGTACAGGTCACGGCTGGGTGGCATACTTCTACATAAGTCTGACACTTGGGCTGTGGAAATGATGTCCTGCCTTAGGGCTGAAGCCAGAATAGAGTCATGCAAGCCACATGAAGTGGTTTCTGGTGTCTTACTTCTACTTCACAGAAGAAAAGAAAGGCAGACATATAATCAAACGGCTGCTGGTACCATTGGCATTGAAATGCTTCGTTGGCTGTTGAAGTTGGGGATGGAGCACTTATGGGAATGTCCTGAGTAAAATAATTGCTGTTAGTTCTGAAATTTTTCTCTTCTTTGTTTTCTTCCTCTTTCTTATTTTTTTTTTTTTTAGCTTACCTTTCATCTTTCATTGCAGCATAGACACTTAGAGCACTTTTGAGAATATTCAAAGTCGTGTAATTCTGACTCTTAGTTTTTTCGGTTCCAAGGAGCGCATCGTACGAGCATACGTTCCTATCTAGAAGCCCAGTAAATGTCAGATATACCAATTTTACATCTCTCTTGACCAAACCTTGGGCATGTGATGATAAACCCCATGGGATGAAAGAGTTAACACAAATTTTTTCCCTTCTTTTCTTCATTTTCTGTCTTTCTTTTCATTTCTCGTTGCATCATAGACACTGGGTTAACTTACACCTGCCAGTGAATATGCTTGCAACTGCAATACTGAAATATTCAAATAGTTAACAAATTCATTAGTCAAATACGTTTTTGCATAATTTTTTTTTAACCTAATTCCCCGAGGGGATTCCCGGGTTCCTATTGAGGGGGAAAATAAGAATAGACCCACTGCCTTCCCAACAAGCATGTCGCAAAAATTTGACTAACTAGGGGCTGCCTTCAGTCGGAGTGCATCTGCCTGAGAGGCAAGAAACCAACAGTCTGCATACAAATAAGCAAGATCTGTTAAATGGATGCCCATGCAAAACTCAGGTCCCGGCACAAAGCCGGAGTCCAGAAATGGACGAACAACCAGGCCTTTCTACCGGGGTTTACAGCCGGTAAGCGCAAACAACAAACATTTTAACTTAATTTCTGCTGGGATACAACAGGTTGTTGAAAAGGCTGAACCACAAGAAGCCGTGGGAGTGGTGTGTAAAGTGAACGGCAAGTACCAGACAGTGGAGTACAGTGAGATTACCTTGGCAACTGCTGAGAAGCGGACAGAAGACGGGAAATTGTTGTTCCGGGCTGGAAATATCTGCAACCATTTTTTCACAGTGGAGTTCCTCAAGCGTGTGTGTTTGTAAGTCTTTCTTGTCAGATATTTGTATATAATATTCGTGTTAGGAAGTCACCATGGCAGAGCAGCTCCGCGCTCGCCTGCGGGTAGGAAGGTCGTGGGTTTGCCTCCCGGCGGAGCAGGACTTTTTTCCCCTCTAAAAATGACCTTGGCTCCCAGGTTGACCCAGCCTTGAGTGGGTCCCGGGTGCAGTCCTGGGAAGTAAAGGCAGCCAGCATGATACTGACCAGATCACTCATTTTGTGCCTATAGTCTATAAAAATATAGGTCTAGGCCTGAATGCGCTATACGCCTAAAGGCCAAGGAAAAACGTCCTTTTACTTTACTATATTCATGTTATATTCTTATCAGGTACTCTCAGTGTGTCTGTCCAACACTGCATCTTTTCCTCACCTTTTGATTCACTATAATTTGTTTTATTTTCTCTCAAATCTTCTCATAGTTATTCTCTCAAGCTGTCTAATTCCCTCTGTTCTGCAGAGGCATAGTTTAGTGAGTTCTGGTTGTTTATTGTTTGTTATTTTAGTCACTCCACTTGTTTCAGCTTCATACTCTAGTAGTTATTAGATTTTAGAGCTAAATATTATGTTTGTTGTTAGTTTTAATTTCCTCTGACTGTTGGATATTTCAAATCCTGTCATTCATCTTCATCATCAGATGCCTTGCCGACTGGCATAGGCGATCATGCCTCTCCACAATCTGCAATCTCCTGCAGCATGTATCAGTTCATGTGCCGACACTCCTCCATGCCATGCAGCAAGAATCTTCTCTTGTTGTTTTCCTCTATCCCTCCTTCCACAGCATGTTCCATTTTCCCTCTTCTCATAACATGGCCGGAAATGAAGACTGTCTCCTTTTGATGTCTGTGATAAGTTGTCTTCGGGCTCCCGCCTTTTTCAAAACCTCTTGGTTGCTCTTTTTGGCTGTCTAAGGTATTTTAAGCATTCTTCTGTAAAACCACATCTCTGAGGCCTCAAGAAATTGTTTGTCCAGCCTACCGATGTCCAGGACTCACAGTCATATGTAAAAACTGGTTGTATGTAGCAAGCAATGTCATTACTCTTTGCAAAAGTTGATTGCTGAAGATTTTCTTCTGCTTCTTCTTCTTCTTCTTCGGCAGTCCGAGCCCTCGAGGTTCATTGCTGCAGCTATCACCTGCTTCCTCTCAAGTGTTTGTAGGTTTGTATGGACATTATCTCTCCATTATCTTCCTAGTCGGTCTCGTGGTTTGCGACCATTCAGCTCCCTTATGTATATAGTTTTACCTTTCTGTCATCTGACATTCTCCAACCATTACAGTCGGTGAAGAAGATTTTGCTTTAAAAAAATGTTTCAACATTTTATTGCCAGTACTTATACATTGTCTGCAGTCTTACACTACATTTTGTCTGCAGTCTTACACTACATTGTGTCTGTGCTGTCTGGAATTATTCCACAGGAAAGAGAATGAGTCTCAGCTGAAGCACCATGTCGCCAAAAAGAAGATTCCGTATGTAGACTCCAGCGGGCTGCTTCATAAACCCTCAGCTCCAAATGGGATCAAGATGGAAAAATTTGTCTTCGATGTTTTCCAGTTTGCTGAGTAAGTTTGCTTCTTGAACTTATTGTTGTCTCTTCCGTATTGTTGTCTCTTCCTTATTGTTGTCTCTTTCTGATTGTTGTCTCTTCTTTATTGTTGTCTCTTCCGTATTGTTGTCTCTTCCTTATTGTTGTCTCTTCCTTATTGTTGTCTCTTCCTTATTGTTTTCTCTTTCGTATTGTTGTCTCTACTTTATTGTTGTCTCTTCGTTATTGTTGTCTCTTCTTTATTGTTGCCTCTTCCTTATTGTTGTCTCTACTTTATTGTTGTCTCTTCCTTATTGTTGTCTCTTCCGTATTGTTGTCTCTTCCTTATTGTTGTCTCTTCCTTATTGTTGTCTCTTCCTTATTGTTGTCTCTTCCTTATTGTTGTCTCTTCCTTATTGTTGTCTCTTCCTTATTGTTGTCTCTTCCTTATTGTTGTCTCTTCCTTATTGTTGTCTCTACTTTATTGTTGTCTGTACGTTATTGTTGTCTCTTCTTTATTGTTGCCTCTTCCTTATTGTTGTCTCTACTTTATTGTTGTCTCTTCCTTATTGTTGTCTCTTTCTGATTGTTGTCTCTTCCTTATTGTTGTCTCTTCCTTTTATTTAAAACATTGATTCCCTGGTGAATTCAAATAATCTAGACACAAACAATACATTGCACAGTTTATTGCCAGGTATATATCGCTGTGTCTGGTCAAGTGCATTACTATAGAGTTGCAATCAACATATTTTGAGGCACAAAAACTGAAAAAGTTCCTGTGAAATACAAATAGTCTCTCTCGATACATTGTTCATCTTCCTTTTGTCTTTTTTCCAAAATGGAATGTCGTGAGAAATATTTGTTTGATGTTTTTCAGTTGCTATCAGATGATATCTGCATCTCATTTTCTGACCGCTCGTGACATTGATATCAAATGTTAGTTGAAGATCCTAAAGCCCAGAGCTGTTCAATTAAGTTTACTCAAGGGCCAAAGTGTTGAAAGTGTGGATTGCCATGGGCCAGAGGCTTGAACCCAGCAAAGAATTATCATTAATACAACACAATTGGCAATGATCTGTGAGCCACTTGCTAGACCTCCGTGAGCCAGATCTGGCCTACAGGCAGCCAGTTGAATAGCCATGTTTAAGCGGATACCACCATTTGGGATGAGATGTTTAGTCCTGTGTCAACTAGGTTGATATCTTCCCACTTCAGCAGTTGAGATGTATTTTCCAAATTCCTTTTCCCTTAGACTGATTGCCTTCCAGTTCCAGAGCTTGTGAACTCTGCCTGCCCAAAATTTTCTGTCGAGCTTTGTTGCCCTAACTTTGTTCCTGCAGCAACTTCCACAAGCCAGTTTGTCTTTCATTTTGATGAACTGCCTTCCAAGGCCTTTGAGCTTCTTCTGGTTTCTCACATTTAGTTCTGCCAATCGGCCAAGACTGTTGTCCAGGGTGTGGCATGAGTAGCCATTAGTGAGCTAGGTAAAGAAATGGGGCACAATAAATTAGGACCACCCCAAAGGATGTGGCTGTCCCCCTTCTCGAGGTATTACTCTTATCTGTTTACCCCATACCCCAGGGCATATAGTGTTGTCTCTATATTTCTGTAGGCCATATTTATAGGCACTCAGTGAAGTTAATGTCATGCCAGCTGTGCTTATTTCATATTTCTTCTTTATCCCCGTTTAAAACAGTTGTTATTATCTTTAGTTAAAACAGTATCAATTTATCAATAATCAGTTGTAAACACCTCAGCACATTCAACACTATTTGTACACATATTTCATCAATGTTTCAGGAATTTTGCCGTCTGGGAAGTTCTTCGGGACGATGAATTCTCTCCTTTGAAGAACGCAGATGGAGCCCCCAAGGACACACCTACTACATGCCGTGAGGCCCTTCTCAGCTTACATTCCAGATATGTGTTGTCTGCGGGAGGGAGATTTGTTTATGCAGATGGCTCTCCATACACTGATTGTTACAGGTAACTAACGATTTATTGATTTTATTTCTATTGCCATCGGGTTTAATGATTTAAAACCTAATTATACAAGGGATTGTGGAGAGAACAAACTAACAGTAAACATCCACAAGACCCCATCAGCAGACTCAACAGAAAGCAACATACAACAATTTTCCGTCTACAAACAGGACACTGCAGGCTCAACTACTACATGCATAAAATAAAGATTGTACAGTCCTCCCAATGTGCCTGTCAAACAGGACCCCAAACACTTCAGCACATTCTGCAGACCTGCCCACTCTACCTGCAACTTTGAAAAGACACTTGGCCTCAAGAGCAGAGTGTGCAGAGCAAGCTATGGGGAACCATGAAAGACCTGCTATAGACTTGCGAGTTCATAGAGGCAACCCACCTTATGGTCTGATCTGAGCATACGAAACTGAACGCAAAGAAGAAGAATAAGAAACCTAATTTAAATGTGTACAATGTGTACATGTGTTAAGATATGCTAGTGGATGTTTGAATGAAAGGATCTGCCTGTATGAGTTCCTGGACCCCATTATGAGAGGGGAGAAGTATAGACCCACCCCCCCCCCCTAACCCCGAAAAGCCACAAAGCTGACACACTTACGGTGAGGCCCAGTCCCGTAAATGTCACATAACCAGTTTCTCTTCAGTGGGATGTGTCAGAGACACCTAATTAATGCCATTGGTTGTGTTTGTGCCTGCACAGCATTTAGCAGGCCAGGATATGAATTTATTTACTAAAAATAGCATGGTGGAAAGGAAAGGGGTGGGGGGAAGGGGTCTTGGTCATAATTTCCCTATAAGCGTTAGTGTTAGAATTTCAGTGGGGCTACGGGATGAGTCACCTAATACATTTTTTAGACCCGGGGAATTCAATCCAGTTAAGGTTTCACTTAACTTGTGTTTATTACTTTCCTTTATATTTCCTTAAATATATGTAATATAAATGTATATTGAAAAAAAAAAGTTTTTAGTGGCTTGCAAGTAAAATTATTTTTTTTTTTTAAATAAAGGAAATTGTTGGGTTTTTTTTAAAGGATTTTTAGGATTTTCCAGGTTCATGGCTCCCATTTTGGTGTGTACATGGTGATAGGGTTCACACAATCATGCGGTAATAGGCGACTGATTAAGAATGTGCTGAAATTAAATATCACAACCTAGCTGTAAACCACAACACAGTACGCCAACCGCCCTTTTAAGGGTCAGTGCAGAATAAGAAAGAGAGGATTTGTGGGTCTTGAAGTGTTTGTCATCATCTTCTGGCGCCTTGTACAATGATATCAATATGTGTGCAGGCAGGACACGAATGATACAGGTAGTGAGGTGGATTCATAGGAACATGATGCCATGAATCAGTATGCATAGGAGAGATCAGGACCGCAGTGAAAATTATGGCAAATAGGTTCAGAGGTGAGCATTGATGAAAAAGAGTGGCTTGCAAAGGCTACAGAGGTCCTGAAAACCTGCACACTCATTGTAGAAGACTTTTCTAAACATGAACGTGTCTTGCTAGTCATACTTGCCGTCGCTGGGATTCCTATGCCTATATGTTTTCCTACCAGCCCTGTAGGACAGTTTCATACTGGTACCTGGAAAGACAGAAAGATACAACTTATATTATATCACAAATATTCATTAACCTCAGGTTGACTGCTGATTTCTTTAAATATATATTCACATTTATATCTGATGGTGTATGAAAAAGAATAACTCTGAGAATTTTTGAGCTGTAAACCCTAGAGATGCAGAGTTCATAAACCATGAAATTGGGAGGAAATGAGACCTTTCTGTCTGTATACTGCCACACTGAAAGCCCCTAGGCATCTATAAGAAGCAAAGTGCTCATTTTAAGTAGGTCATCAAAATCTCAGATCTGCAGGCTGCCCACTGCTGGCTTCTAAAGACATAGCCCATGATAAATAAGAGGCTCAATATATGGAGGTGAGGTAAAACGGTCGTGAGCAGGACGTGACGATTCCTTGGGTAAGCCCAGTACCAAAGCACCATGTATTAGCTGGGCATTTATGGAAGCCTCCTTGCATGGTGGGAATGCTGAGGGGCCTAATGAGGGGCACCACCTGGGACCTGGGAAACAAAGATGACCGCACATGAATGAGATTGCAGTCGCCCATGAAACTAACTGGGAAGGTAACCACAGCGACAAATTCCTGCAGAAGTCAGATGTGTTGGCCAAAAAGTGCAGATATTGCAGCAGTGTTGCAAATGGGCGCACAGCGTTTATGTTTTCACATGAACCTAGAAGAGAAAGAAATCACATATACTGAACATATAATCTGACAATACTGTAAAACATGAAACCTTCGCATGAACCTAGAAGAGGAAGAAATCACATATACTGAACATATAATCTGACAAGACCGTAAAACATGAAAGTGGAAACCCCAAGAGGCAGAGGAAGACAGAGAAAGATGGATTGAAGTAGTCCATGACAGCATGAGTCTTTACAAAATCACAGCATAACAAGCAGCCGAACATGCCCTGGCTCAGCTGCCGATCATGTTAAACTGTAATGACACAAAACAGATGTTTCCCTATGTGTGTTCCGGGGAAAAAAACACTGCCCCTGTAAAAAAAGCATTTCATAAGAGTGGACCAAGAGGGAAAGAAAAGACGCTGGCATTGGATAGGACACACATTGAGAAAACAGAAGAACAACATAACTAATGTCTTTGCATTGGAACCCATAGGGGCATAGAATAGAAATAAAGGAAGACCAAAAAAACAGATTAAAAAGTTAAAAAGATGAAGAGAGCTGCATGCGACAGCAAATTATATAACGGCTTGGCGTGAGTTAGTTGAGGGCCTATGCTCCGTTGGGGGTTGGAAAGGCAGAAGAAGAAGAGTAGATTATTAAGGGGTTTCCTTCAAAGTTGGAGTGCATTTTGCCTAAAAGACAGGGAACCAACAGTCTGCATGCAAGTAAGCCAGATCGGTAAAACGGGTGGGCTTGCAAAACTAAAGTTCTGGATCAAGACTGAGGTCCAGAAATGGCTGAACAAGCACAACTTTTCTCCTGAGTTTACAGCCGGGGAACCTGAAGAAGAAAAAACCTATACTGACAGAAGAGAGGAGAAGAAAAAGTACAAGACTGCACAATTTTGTTCCATGTTATTTCATTGATGGATTCTTGTGAGTTTCAGACAGGAGAATCAGGGCAGCACTGTGGTGGTGTGTGAAATCTCTCCGTTAGTACTACTTCTTATAGTGTGTGCTGTGTTGCGTGGGTGGTCATGTCTGTCCCCAGCCTTCTGTCCTGTGTACTGTCAGTCTTCTACTTTTTATAGTGTGTGCTGTGTTGCGTGGGTGGTCATGTCTGTCCCCAGCTTTCTGTCCTGTGTACTGTCAGTCTTCTACTTCTTATAGTGTGTGCTGTGTTGCGTGGGTGGTCATGTCTGTCCTCAGCCTTCTGTCCTGTGTACTGTTAGTTTTCTACTTATAGTGTGTGCTGTGTTGCGTGGGTGGTCATGTCTGTCCTCAGCTTTCTGTCCTGTGTACTGTCAGTCTTCTACTTCTTATAGTGTGTGCTGTGTTGCGTGGGTGGTCATGTCTGTCCCCAGCTTTCTGTCCTGTGTACTGTCAGTCTTCTACTTCTTATAGTGTGTGCTGTGTTGCGTGGGTGGTCATGTCTGTCCTCAGCCTTCTGTCCTGTGTACTGTTAGTTTTCTACTTATAGTGTGTGCTGTGTTGTGTGGGTGGTCATGTCTGTCCCCAGCCTTGTGTGCTGTGTACTGTCAGTCTTCTACTTCTTATAGTGTGTTGTGTGGCATTGGTAGTCATGTCTGTCCCCAGCCTTTTGTCCTGTGTACTGTCACTTCTACTTTTTATAGTCTGTGCTGTGTGGCATTGGTAGTCATGTTTGTCGCCAGCCTTCTGTCCTGTGTACTGTCACTTCTACTTTTTATAGTCCGTGCTGTGTGGCATTGGTAGTCATGTTTGTCGCCAGCCTTCTGTCCTGTGTACTGTCACTTCTACTTTTTATAGTCCGTGCTGTGTGGCATTGGTAGTATGTCTGTCTTGTGTACTGTCAATCTTGTTTCGTGTTCAGCCTTAAAATGGCAGTAGGCATGCTGTGTTGTAGTTGACAGTTAGGCCCAATACATCCGACTTCAGCAAACCTGTAATTAGTCTAGTCACCGTTAACCATGTACATGTTAAGGTGCGATGCGATTATTATTCCTCCCACACTAATGGGGCCCTGGAACCCACACGAGGGTGTCAGACTGCAACAGCATCCCTCTTGATCTTGCTGTGCTTCTTTATCCCTCCAATCTTTCCACTGTCACGATGTTCTCCAGTTTTCTCAAAGATGTGACCAAATACAGTTTAGCTTTTTTGATGTGAATTCCAAGGAAAAAAGAACGTTTTTTTTCAAGTGTTTGCCAACTGATCATTTCTTTGTATGAGAAGGATTATAGTCATGTATAATCATGTTCTTTTCTTCACCAGGGTTTGGAAGAACTCAACGAAAAGGATCTGATACCCCCTGTGTTGATTGAGCTGGGCTCGGACAATGTCAGTCTGGTGATCCAACAAGGAACCTTCTAGAGACATTCCTTCACTGCTGGGTCCAGTTTGTGTGAATACAGCAGATAAAGCAGCAGTCCCTATTGACATGTGCAAGAAATGTCAGCTTTTATCAGCTTGCTTGATCGCATCTGTTTTGGAACATCTGACAGAAGATGAAGTGTAGAGATTACTACAAGAATCACTATAGCAAAAGTAGATTTTTGTAAGATGGGATACATTCCAGTAAAATATTTCTAGTTAAGCAACCCATATTCATGTTACAAGCAAATTTTTGCTGTTGTTGACCGTGCGCTGAAAATGTCTTTCTCTTTGATCAACTTAGATATTTGGGTACCCTTAACATGTTTTTCTAGTTGATAAAATCGTTCATTTGTATCCACTGAACATTTTCTAGTTGATCAGTTGTGTACACTTAAAATCTAGTCAGTCAACTCATTTATTTGTGT